GCAGGGCAAACTCTGCGCCTGTGCTCACTTGTCCCAGGGGCGGGGGCTGCTGAGTTTTAGATGAGTTGATATAAACCTGTGTGAAGGAAAGGCAGGTCTTATGCCCTTCGAGCACACTACAAGGACAAAAATGTTTGTTTTTAAATACACCTTGCATCAGCTAGGCAAATAATTTCCCAAACTTAAGTCCCATTTTGCCCCCAGGGATCTGCACAGACCCACGTGGAGGACACGAATGTTGGCCTGTGCCCCTCTCATCTCTCTTCTGAAGGGTCCTGGGGCTGCAGGACAGAGCTGAAAAGCAATCTATTGTCATCTACACCCACTGTCTGCTTATCGTGTCCACTTGGGTACAGTAAAGGCACCTCAGACCCAACCTATCCAAAACCCAACATATGGGCTATCCCAAAAGCTTTTTCTGGTGTCTCTTCTGAAGCCGAGTGGCACCACTGTCCATCTGCCCGCGTGTCAGAACTCAGGTCATCCTTAATATGCCCCCCTCAGCCCCTTGTCCAACCCATTACCAAGTGCTGTCAATTTCATCCCGTAAGTAGACCTTCCATCTCTCCTCTTCTCCCAACCTGCTTCAGTCCTAGCTTCAGAAGGGAGCTAGAAAGGTAGCAGAACCATGAGGAAAAGCAAGGAGCAGGACACGGTACAGCTGGACTCTGAGGAAAGGAAGTGTCTGGGGCAGCCTGAGCCACATCATTTGGGGAATGTTAGTACCTGGTAGTGTCACCATTCTGGAGCTATTGAAAATGAAAGCCCTTCAGTTATTTAGTCATTAAATATTTGCTACACGCCAGCTATGCAGGAGGTACCATTCTGAACTCAGGGTGACAGCGGGGAGCAAGACAGGCCTGGTCCCTTCCTCATGGGGCTTACCCGCTCTGGAGATCTGAAGACCATAAAGCAGCTGGAAAGTGCTTTGCACTTCACCTCTAGTGGAGAACATTTATGAAATCATACATCTGCTGTGATACTGCAGAAGGTCTTGAGCTGCCTCTAGGACTCAGCCATTTTAGCATTCCCTAAAATGCCAATTCACATACAAAACCATGGAAGATTATAGAATTTTGCCAAAGGGTTTGTGAGGTTGTGAGGAATAATCATATCGCCTATTACAAATCAAAACATCTTTAAAATCCTTGTTACCTTATTTTCCCCCTAACATTTAACCTCTTAGGCAGCTGCCTGTGTTCTGCCTCCCTCTCCCATGTCTCCCCTTCAGCCTCTTTAAGCTCCTGGGGTACTTCTCTCCCTCCCCTCCCAAGGAATTGGGTGCTGGAGGAGACAACTTGTGTTCCAGCACAAACTATCTTGGGAAGACCAGGGTGGGCAGAAGTGATCTTAGCTTTTGACCCAAAATCTGTGAATGCAACATGTACGGGGCAGGCACCACAGACACACACAAGTTCTCCCTAACAGCTGCAATTCCTCCCACACGTCCAGCACATTCCAGACATTTTCCCCTTGAATTCTCCCCACAGACCTAGCAGGGAGGCTTCAGGGCTTGGGCTATAGCTGGTGCAGGCAGACATTCCCTACCAGAGGTGGGGTCTTGTAAAACATCATAAGAGCCGCCCTGCTGGTCGGGCCCTCAGAGGACAAAAACTGACCCAGAGCTTCCCCTCCTGCAGGGCCTCCTGTCAGTGTACAGGTGGACTTTCTCCAAGTGTTGGTTACGAGACTTTTCGGGGACTATGGGAGCCTCTTCAGGAGGGTGGATCAGGCCCTTGCAACAAAATGACCCAGTGGCTGTCATTCAAAGGTGGCCAACATGGAAAAGGCCTCCCATCTCCAGCTCTGTTAACAGATACCTACACGTGCACTTTATAAGCAGAAGGAAGAGGACTTTGTAAAGACCTTCAGATTCATCCACACCTTCACTACCTGTTTCATTCAGAACCAGTTGGGGAGGGGGCTATTGGGATGGAATTCTAAAAATATATATTTTTTAAATCGAATGGCTAAAGTTTGTGCAGAAACCAGACTGAGTGGCCACACTGCCCACAACTACTGATCTGAGACTTGGGGCAGAAGGAGGGCCGGCTCTTTCTGAGGACAGGCAGCCCAAGGAGACCTCAGGCCACTCCCCTCCCTACCCGACAGTCACTGCCCTTATCCTGGCAAACCAGGGCTCACCTGGGAATCACCAGGCCCCAGCCTGGAAGGAGTGGTCATGATGTGCCTGTCAAGAGAGGCTGGTGGCCTTCCACTTCTGCGTTTAAGAGGTTGTACAATGAAGTGTAGGGATACTGGAAATCCTTGTTTATAGGTAGCAATAATGCTTATGAAATGAGGCACAGCTATAGCCTTAAAAGCTGTATCACAAATCTTTCCCCTTGGATAGGAAACAAGGAGGAGGAGGAATTCTGGGGTAAGGGACAGGGCTTTTCAGGCAGATCCAAATCTAAGGTAAAGAATGGCCTATGGAGACCCCAAGAGGGGGACTGAGGATGTAAAGTCCTTCCTGCCCTTGGTGCATTTGCTTATGGTCCTCTGGCCCTTTCCACGCTGTACATTTTGATCTTATATTTTTTCCCCCATTTAGTGCTACAGAATTCCACAGTTTGACCTTGAAAACTATGGGTTCCTAATTGGTGGTCAAAAGAAACCTCAGCAAGGGAAGCAGAAAATATTCTCTCTTCCGCCAAAGCTATAGAAAGGAAGTCACTGTCCTGGGTTAGGAAATGGTCCTTGCAGATGTCATTTTTAAAGACACCCAAATTTCAGGGGAAAGGGAGGAGGGAGGGAGGTTTCAGTAATGGGCCACAACAATCAACCACATTGTATATTGACAAAATT